ATTCTCACTCGAATGAATATTCTTTCAATAGTCAGAAATCAAAGTAAAAATGCAAATATTTCTCGTGCCGCATAGAATTTGTGTAGAGAATATTTTCTCTACAGAATGATGCTACAGATATACTTGAACATGTCTATAGCTTGAAATGTTTAAAATATAAATACAGTGATCATATTTTCTTAGGGAAAAAAAAGACAGATATGAAATAGGTTTTAAAAAATAAAAATAAATCTAATCCGAATAATTCTAATAAAAAACATTGGAAACATAGTTAATAAAAAACAAATGACGTATTTTTTCAACAAACAGTAAAAGAAAAAGTTTTTAATGATATTTTTATGTTGAATGTATGACGAAACTAAATTTGTCTCAGTTGTTTCTTCAAAAATTCGTTCATTTCAGAACGACATTAGACATTGAAATGCTGATTACAAAAAATTTTCTCGCAGTATTCTTTAAGTAAAAATAAAGTTATAAAGTTAAATAAGTAAAAATAAAGCTTCAAAACATTCAAAACTTAAATTTAAAAAATGAATAAATTTAAAAGATAACTATCTGAAATAAAAGACTGTCCTTTAACAATAAAGGATATATAATTATCGTAAGTATAAATGATCAATGACGTGCGAGCTTTTGTTGGATAGAACATGTGGTCTTTAAATGGCGAGCAGACGTTGCAACAGATGTATGAATGTTAGCTTAATCCTTATGTAATTTAATAATCATATAGACTAATCGAGATGCGCGACGTCACGAAATTTGGCTCATATTAGTCGAAAGAGAACAGTAGGCCGTTACTTTTAGGTCAAACAATATCCGGTTAGAGTCTATCACAGTGACCGACTTAGGGCTCTGATTAGTGTCATACAGAACGGCACTTAAAAAGTTCTATGAGTTGACTCATCGACTTCCCATATTATTTGGAACGCGTAGAATATATTTCAAATAAAATAAATATTTTTATTCCAATAAAATATTAATAAATTCCGATAAACCTAAACTCGTCGAAACATCGGAAAAATTTCTGACTGGATTGCTTTAGTCTTAACATTTTCGCTTCGTGGAATGGGTCGACTCCAAGTCGACTCATTGTATGTTTGCTCAACTGTGGACACGACTTTACACGCTACTCGCATATATTCACCACGCCGGCCATTAACGGCAAATCGCGACGAGGAAAGAAAGGAAACGATTTTTCGCATCCAAGGACTCTCAGACCGCGTAATAGAAAAATCTTTAATGTAACAGGTGCCCCCCTCTCTCTCTCTCTCTCTCTTTCGAAAAGCGTGATACGAGAAGAGAACACGCGAGCGAAATAGGAAATAATGTTACGTTACGTTGAATTCTCACTGCATCGTGAAAGGTAATTATTCAGCCTACACAGATGTCGTAGGACAAACAGTCAGGGAACGTTGTTATTTTAATTTGATATAATATTCGTACAAATTAATCGACTTGAGCTTGTTTTCGCGTTTCCAAACGAGCTCTCAAGTCAGTCTATAAGTCGACTATGTGCTTACTGTACGTCAGTAATTTGTCGCAATCGATATTTCCGTAACGCAAATGGAAAAAAAAAAAAAAGTAAATCGTCAACAAGAATAACAACGAACAGTAATAATCAATCATTAATTACAAATTAATGAAATTATTTCAAAACAAAGACCAACTGAGAGCGTATGGCACAGTAATTAATGCGCAAACAATAATTCTTATAAAATATTTATTTCTCATTCCAAAAATCTTTCATTCCGTATTATAAAATATTTATTTCTTCATTTAAAAAATCTTGTATTTCGTACTATGTAATGAAAACGTAAATATTTTAAAATCATTGTTTATGCATTAATTATCGCGCCGCATGCATTTTTAGTTCCTCCTTGTTTTTCATTAATCTCTTATTCAGATTTGAGAATCTTTATATTTTATTTTTATTTATTAATTAACAAGATATATCACGCTTCATCTTGATTCGAAATTCTACGGAAATATAGTTTAAGTCTACGGAAGTTATATGGAAGTTCTACGGAAGTATAGTATAAGCCAAGTCACAAATCTACGGATTTTGATAATAAAAGCCGAAGAAGTCATGACTCATGCTTAGGGACCGGATGGGTTTAAAAGTTTCAAATTTGAATGGTAAAACTCAAAGGAGTCAAATAGAACTCGAGACGAGTTTGCCTGTTTCCGACGGACGACGCTCCACGTCTAAGACTGGATGTTGGGGTTCGCAAGATATTTCGTGGATCTGAGAGTGAGAAACGGTTTTACGGCTGCTTGGCAACGAGACCAGGCACCTAGCCAGACGAACCAGCCAGCGGCAACCGGAGGCGCCTATCGCGGATCCGACGATCCGTTGAGGTCAGAGCCCCTCTCACAAAGAAGGGGCCCCCTCCCCTTGGCGCCCTCGAACGTTTATATAGGGTGTCCTGCTTCTGCCTCATCGTCACGCTGTCTGGCATTCACAAGGGGAACAACTATTCGTCGATACATTACTCGAAATTTGTTCTATTTTTTGCCTCAATAGAAATAAAAATTCCTACCATTAAATGAGAAATGAAAGACAATCGAACGTTCATTCAATATTAAATTCTTCTTTGAATCTTAAAAAAATTAAAATTTATTTTATGGAGCTTATAATGAGTTATGAGGATTATAAATGAGTCAGAAATCATAAGAATTAGCATGAAAAACATATTTTTTCGTTAAAATTCATTTAAATGAGAAATTTCTTGTGCCAACAAATGAATGTGTTGTAATGATATCATTTTGATTGAACCTTTTTCTTTTCAAAATTAAGTCATAAAATGAAAAATAGAATTTCGATGTTCAAGATATTGAAATAGTTTGAAATAAAAATATAGAAATATACATATAAATATACATAGAAATATACATAGAAATATATACAAAAAATTAATCTTAAAGACAAATATTCTCATATATAAGCAAGAATATTATAATCTTGTTAAAAAAATTTTAATCTTGGTTTGATTGAATTTGTATTAATACAAATATAGATATTCTCATATATAAGAAAAATATTTTTATATAAATAATCTTCATATAAAAGATTTTCGAGTATCGAGTTGAACAAAAGTAAAACTTAGTATCTATACAAATTCAATCAATCTCGAGAAAACTCAAGAAGATTATAATATTCTTGCTTATATATGAGAATATTTGTCTTTAAGATTAAATTTTTTGTATATATTTCTATGTATATTTCTATGTATATTTTTATGTATATTCTATGTATATTTCTATGTATATTTCTATGTATATTTATATGTATATTTCTATGTTTTTATTTCTAACTATTTCAATATATATCTTGAACATCGAAATTCATTTTTCATTTTATGACTTAATTTTGAAAAGAAAAAGGTTCAATCAAAATGATATCATTACAACACGTTGGCAGAAGAAATTTCTCATTTAAATGAATTTTAACGAACTCATTATGTAGTCTTGACTAATTTCTTTTTGTGCATATGATTAAAGTAGATGAAGCACTTAAAAGCGATAAAAAACACGCCTCAAAAACTGGAGCCTCTGGTAGATGAAGCAATAAACATTTATTTTTATTACACCTTAAGCGAATAGCTTCGCCTGCGTTTTGACTGAAAATTATTTTTTTTTTTAACTTTTATAATTGAAAGGATAATTCAGCCTGAAAAGTCCAGAGTTCTGAGAACACTCAAGATTTTTATTATTATAGCAGAAATACGCACGATGTGATATATCTCAACAATTGAATCACTCGTTAAAATCTCGCGAGATAACAGATAATAACAGTAATAAATGAAGACAGATTGAATCAAGGTTCGATAACAGAGATACATGTATATCTTCTTAACAGTAAGACAATATAACTTTTCGCACGTGCAAAACATGTTTCCGGTCCCGATTTTCGGTAGATAAAAAAATTTATTAGCGCAGAAGAAATGAATAAAGCAATTTCAAAAAAAAATTTCAAAATTGCTAATTTCCACTGGCAAAATTTAATTTAATTAATAGTTATTACTATTATTTTGTTATTTAACATTTTATCTCACAGATATTTAAGAATTCAATAAAATCTGAAATTCAGCATCATCCTCTAGTATTAAGAGACAAATAAGAGACAAAGAATATCCGTAAATTATTTAAATTCATATGTGATCCATAATTACATGCAATATATAAAAAAATCTCATCGAAAATCTCATCCACTGATTTCTCGCACACAGAAAAAAAATTAATTTTAAATCAAGAAAAATATATATTCTCATATATATAAGCAAGAATATCAATCTTGTTAAAAATTTTAATCTCTTAATTTGATTGAATTTGCATTGATATTACTAGTATTACTTTTGCTCAATTTAAAACTAGAATCTTCTATATGAAGATCTTTATTCTTGCTTACATATGAAAATATCTACATTTGCATCAACATTTTTCTACGAAGATTTAACATTCTTGCTTATATATGAGAATAATCAATATATAGCCTCGATTTAAGATTAATTTTTTTCTGCGAATGCTTTTCGGAATGCTGCGATTTCGGGACAGAACTTTCTAGCTGTTTCGTCACGAGGCGCCGCCGTTCGTTTTCCGCGCCGAAATTTCGCACGCAATTCCGAGGTATGTAAACTAGTCTAGTTTCTGTGTCGCGTCGTTAATTTCGTCATCGTGCCGACCTATGACCAACTTGCGACACCAACAACGAGATCTTTCGCATGCGAAGAGGCCAGTCCCAGTTTGCCTGACGTTCGTTGTCTGACGTTACTCGCGATCCGGCGTTTTATCGGCCTCGCGGATGCGAAAAACGTACGTCGCGGCCCCGCACGTTCGTAAACAATTTCGAAATCAGTCATTCCCGCAAAATCACGGCCGTGAACGCCTGTACATACACACTGTGTAGCGGACGACGTTTCTCTCGCGTGCGATCGAGGAAGATTCGAGATATGCAGACGTGGAATAAAAAAAAAAGAAGAAAAAAGGGGGAAGCTACTCACCCATGTGAGCGAGGTCGATGATCGGGATTTCGCACTTGCTGAGAAGAGTCTCGCAAGTTTGCGTGACCATGGGCGCGCTGGTACAATAACTCATCTTGACAACTGGAATCTCCTTGGAAATCGGTCGAGATTCCTTTTACACCGGATCGCTCGCTCTCCTCTCTCGCTCTCTTCTCCCTTGGTTACTCTCTTTATCTATCTTTCAACCAACGCTCCTGTCGCAGATCGACCAGTCTCGACTTTCTCTCTCTCTCTCTCTCTCTCTCTCTCTCTCTCTCTCTCTCTCTCTCTCTCTCTCTCCCTCCCTCTATCTTTCTCCTCTTCCGTGCGTTGAAGTGAGAGCGCGACGGCGAAGGAAAGAAAGAGTACGCCACTGCACACCGCGATCGATTCGGGCCACCCGGTATAAGGCGCTCACCACACAGACTCACTGGAATATCCAAGAGAAGATCATACTATCACCGTGTGCGCACACGATCCGTGATCACCCGCGCGCGGATCTGGACGGCGGGCGCGATTTAAATGGGCGTTGAATTTCTGTACATGCGTGAAATGGCGAGGAAGCCGCGGCGAAAGGGGAGAATACGGCTGCCTTAACGGAGACAAGTTTATTGTGCGGCTGGTTATGCGGTAAGCGGTATACGTGGCTCCGGACTAGTGGGCACATGCTACGACGGCGTGATGGCGGTTTGGAACAACGAGTTCGGGTTGGATGGTCGGCGCAAACCACCGACAAAAATAAGACAACCACACCGTCGCGCGGTCCTTCGCAAACTGCCGTACCGCCACGATCGCTGCCGAACATCAAGCGACGAGCATTCCGCGCGCGCTCACGAACGCTCACGAACGCGGCCGATCCTCCCCGAGGATCGCCGACGGCGCGCAACGACGCGGTGCGCGAAAAATTTACCAGGCGGATCGTTTGTTTGTTCAGAGCGGATCTGACCTGACGTCGAAGCCGATTCCGCGACATCGAGACAATCAAATCCGTCTTATTACATTTGCATTGCAGATCTCTGCGAACGCGGATTCGCGAGCAGTTTGTTGGGCGAAAATCCGAATTTGTCTCATTCCGATCGCGAAACAGAAACGTTCGATCTCGTATCGTCGAGGCGCGAGCCTATAATGTTATAAATTGTTAATATTTTTATATTACAATACAATATTATATTATGTAATAAATTATTATAATAACATATGTTAAATACAATATTATGTATTATAATTAAATAATATTATAAATTTATATTTTTGTTCAATTTTTCGCGAATTTTTTAATTGGCTTTTGTTTTAATAATAAATTATTTTTAATATTATTATTTTTGTCTTTTAATTTTCTTTTTATAAAAATATTAAAGTAAACTTCTGTCATGTCCTGTTCGTATAATATTTATAACATTCTATTGTTAATAAATAACATACTGGATTATCAATCCAGTTACCGCATTAATATTTCTTTATTTTTAAATGTTTTTTATTTACACATTACGATTATTAACCGAGCAGAAAAAGAAGGCTAGCCACAGCTAATCTATCGGCACTTGTTTGTTTCTTTAAAACACGTCTGGTACGAAAGTCCGTTGCGAAACAACGACGTTTTATTATTATTTTCGTAATGTCCGTTGCGCGTCACATATTTAGTTCATTTCATACGCACGGGAAAATAATAAAATACGTACGATCTAAATCTTAAATAGAGCGGAGTCGATTTCTATATTTTTTTCCTCGAATATGATAAAGCTGATAATCGCTGATTTTCATCGTGAGCTATAAACCTCATTTGAATGAATTTTCGGGTTTCTTCAGGACTGTATTTTCAGCCTGCGAAGTGCACCGATGAAATGCAATAGGACGAACACGAGTTCCGCTTATAGGACGTCACCAGTTCTATTAAAGTCCGCAGAAGAAACACAGAAAGGAGCACACGGGATTAACGCGTATCAAATATATTACCGCGAACGGCTTTAAAGTAGCTTGCAAACTTGGAAATTATTTCATCAGTCTTTAAAACTGTCAATACATCTGATAGTTCTAATCGTTAAATATTGCAAAAAAAAAAAAGAGATAAAAACCACGTAATCACATTCGAATTTATCTTATAAAAAAATATTGTAATATTAAACAAGATTTATATGTGTGACAGAATTGCACAGTAAAAGCAAAAAAACAACTCAACATTACGTGTATTTGAGTTACCGGCGAGATTGGCATCGCTTGTCCCTCATTCGCGTGCGATGTTTTGAACTACACTGATTCCCCCGATGTCGATGTCTTGTGACTTTCAAACAGGAAATTTACTTGCCTCCCACCAGATTACTCAATGTCTAGTGATACGACTTACCTCTAATGGTAACAATTAGCGTTTTACAATCGTTAATACGCAGTTTGTCTGAAAGACAGCCGCCGTTCTAATTGTTTGGAAGATCTACGGCTCATTAGTGCAAAGTGGTTTCAATGCGCTCATTTGTTACGAAGACATTCCACAGATATTCTATGTTCCTCGTGAACGCTGGGTTTAATCTTTGCCACGTCCCAAGTACTATTAAGCAAAATATCTAGTTTTTTTTATTTTTATATTTGCACATTTAATTGACAATTTTATCATTAAAGAAAAAATTAAAGTTATGTGATATTTATTCAAATAAAAAATCATTTTTATTCATGACATCTTATAATATCTTAATTTTATTATACATTTTTATTTTATATAAAATTTTATACCAACAGATATTTCCAAACCTTTTCTTTAAATATTTATTTTCAGATTATAATTAAATCAATTATAAATCTTAGAATTATAATTATAATTAATTTAATATTTAAATTAATTGCAATTAAAATGCTAAAATATAAATTATAAAATATAAATATATTCTGAAGCACCATTATTTAAAAATTTAAAACAATCGATGCGTTTTTCTCTATACCTATTTTTATTTTTATAAAAGGATTTCTTACCAATTTCCGTAATTCAGACTAGGATATTTGCGTTTTATCTTGGGCGATTTAATGATGCGCTTCTTCTTAATGAATGTGTTTCTCATCATTAACGAGTGACATTGCATATTCGACTTTTTGTACCTAGTAGATTTCTTAAGAGAAGAAAATCGTGACACATAGGTCCTTGATGTATTCACAATAGTGAATGGCTTAGTGGAACATCTTACCTGAGGAAAGGTCATTTGCAGAGGGACAACTCTATAGATCATCTGTGACAATAAAATACTGAAGTTATAGATAAAGGTAAAGGTAAAAATAGAGGTTTATTGTTAGGAATAATTAGGATAAAGCAGAGACTTTTTTTCTGATCTTGAAGAAAAAGGAAGTGTATATAAAGAAGTATATAGGAAGAATATTAGAAATAGGAAATATATTAGATGTAAAAATTCCAGTAAATATTAATGGCAAAGATTATTTTAAAATAAAAATTTTGATAAATCAGTCACGATTATCAAATATTTTCGTATTTTTTAAGTACGAAATATTGAAAGATGATCAACCATTTGAAATTTATATGCTCGGACACAGCACATCGCACATATTTATAATATGTTTTATATGATAGCTTTGAAATTTCAAATAATTTAGATGGTTAACTTTAAACATTTTTTTATTTAACAATGATTATAGTCTCGACATTTTGATATTAGGATTTTCATCTCAAAATGACTTTAAGAGTATGCATTAATATTTTTTATCAAAGGAGCATGTATAATATAATATCAATATGATTGTGTAATCATTTAAATAAATGAATAATAATTTTAAATAATATTAAAATTTTGAATAATTAATTGAATTTCTCGTGTAAATTTTTTATTATAAAAAATGTATCATCATAGCGAGTTTTCAATAAAATATTATTAATATAACATATATCTATAAAAAAATTAATCTTTTTGATGAAGGAATAACAATGTTAATATGTAACTTCTAAACTGGGAGCATTCGGCATTTGGTGAGATTAAGCAAGATAACGTACTCTAGTAATTAAAAAGGCCAATAACACTTGTATAATGATTAAAGTGATAGTCATGACATAAGCGACTATGACGATTCTAAGAAGAATGGGACTGATGACTTCCGCGCAGCCGTTCACGTTTATCGTTTTGTCATCCGTCATCTCCAAGTGCATACAAGGTGCCTCAGCATGCAAGTTGCAGCAGCTAAAAGGGACTCCGAGACTCCTGTAATCCTCGTCAGAGATTCTGTTTTGTTCCGCCATTTCTTCTTGAGATGCGTAATCTACAGACTAAAAGTAAATAATGTATCACGAATATTTTTGTTGATCTATTTTATCTTTATCACAGAAAAAAATTTTTTATCTTACAAGTTTATTATTGAAGATATAATAGAATGTAATATAATAAATAACAAAATAAATGTCAATGTAAACATGTAATTATTAATATAAATTTTGAAAGCAGAATTTAATTAAATTCTTTTATAGCTTTGTATTTATCAGCTATTTATCAGCTTTGTAAGTTTTGTAATATAAATATTTTTTTAAAAATAAAGAAGACTGTGAAAAATAAAGATTATAAATTTACATTGGAAATATACATTCCATGCAAATGTACAAATTTCAATATTAATAAGTATTAAAGATATATTTTACTGACACAAAAAAATATAAAAAGATAAATATATCGATGAGGGGAATCTACCCTGATGATTTTGATTTTGATATATATTATCCTAATCTTAACATATGTTATCACCCTGAACAACATTCAAAAGATTTTAGCCGTCGCTCGCTCTTCATTAAAAAATTATTAACAAAAAAAGTATTAAAAATATAATAACATATGAGTGCTGAAGGCATAATTTGCTAATATATGTATAAAAAAGTTAATATAATAAATTCATATGGAAATGTAAATCCTTGCTTCACATTGAAAAGTGTATGCGTGGAGACAGTATATTCCATCCCCCCCCCCTTCTACAAGAGGACTCCACTTCTGAAAGATCTAATCTAATCCAACACGTATCACAGTGATAATTCAATATTACAATAACGATGTGATACACAATGATATTTAATTATCATTGTGATACAAGATGGGTTACGAATGGGGATGGTCCAGGAGGCGGTCCATCTCTCCCCCGCCCATGCATGTTCTATACCTATATGGAAAATCTTGTTAATTCTATAACTGTATAGAAATTAATGGATTTTACTTTTCAATCTACTAGTATATATATGTTATAGCAAATTGATGACTAGCTCAAACTGGTACATTTCACAAACTTTTTTTGTTAAAACTTTTTTTGTTAATAACTTTTTAATGGATAACGAGCGATGGCTAAAACTTTTTGATTGTTACTCAGGGCGGTGATAACATATAGAGATCAAGATCAAAGTCGTTGGGGCAGACTTCCCTCATCGATATATTTACCTATAAAAATAATTATAAAGATATAAAAATTTACGAATTATACCGTCGTATCTAAAGTATATAAATCTTATGTATTAAATTTCAACTCTTACGGAAGAGTTAAGAAAGAAAATAAGAATTGAAAAAAGAATGTGATAATAAGTAAGGTAAATCACAACAAATAAATCAAACACGAATGTTTTATAAATTATCGTTTTATAAATTATTATAATATTGTAATGTTTTATAAATATATATTATTTATAATTCAATGAATTTTTGCAGTAATGCTTTCAATATCTGCAATCGAAGCGAATAATATTGAAAGCTTACCTGCCAGTCGAAGAGAAACCAGTCGGTATAAGAGGAGTGACCGCAGCACTGTAATATAAATTGAATCTCGTCTATCACGTATTTGTATGACGAGGCAGTGGCGTACAGATGCATAGAGGCATTGAAGACATTGATCAAAGTCTTCTGCCTTACACTAATGTGACACCCTATCGAAGCTAATGTGGTCGCGTTCATGATGGTGCATAAAACTATCATTATCAAAAGATACCTTAATATCTGTTTCGTTTTTAGAAAAGTCCATGATTCGTGCCTGCAAGAACGCATCCATTATTACAGATCATGTCAAGAGATTTGTGACGAAGAAATTGTAATAAAAATGTAATAAAAATGAATCTTTCACGAATCTTTAATAAATTATCGTTTCCGAATAATCTTATTTTAACAACCAAAGGTAATAGAAAGAAGAATGAATTTATTAATATAATCAATTAATAAAAATAAGTCTCTCTCTCTAATAATACAGAATTGTCTTTCAATAAATTCTTCTTTAATATGAAAATATAATTCAATCTTTTTTTTTTATATTATTTTATATAAATAAATATTCAAACAGCAGATCATAGAAAACGTTAGTAAACTAAATCTTGGATGGTCTAATAATTTTCCTTTATTGAATTTATATCTGTAAATTCAAAGCAATTGCTTATATCGCTAAATTACATGCCGTTGTTTTTACAACTAAATGAACATTATTTCTCCCAATTAATTATATTAACAATTTCTTTGAGCTCGCTTGTTCATCCGTCACTGTGCAAATAAGCGTTACCTGCGTATAGTGCGTACGGTAATAAGGGCACATGGCAATCCTAGACTCACGTCCGCAAAGGTAAGGACGACCGGTTGGAAACCACCTGCGAAACGAATCACCTGCCATTCCGCGAATACCTCCAAGACGAACACGAGGAGGCGCTTTGTCTCGAAAACGGCTAGCGTGAAAGCCACGCCGTAGCCGAACTTTACCTCCCATCCACAAATACAACTTGCTCTTTTGCGGTATATCTGGTTGCGACAGTTCTTCGTCATTCAATGACTACGGGCTGCGCCTGTTTCATTTATCGCTCTATTGTATTCCTCTTCTCTCTTTAAATGTTTCGAACGTGCAAAATGTCATGGTATGTGCCCAGAAATTTTAACGGGTTATTATTTCACGGATGACGATGATTTCACCACATATATAATGCTTAATTTAATGCAATCAAGCTAATACAATAACAGTTTTGGGAAACGTGCAGTGTTTCAAGTATTGTAATTTTACGTGTGTCATATGTTGCTTTACGACATTACAAAGTTTATATGTATATACTTTATATATATGTGTGTGTGTGTGTGTGTGTGTGTGTGTGTGTGTGTGTGTGTATGTTTACATGTTTAAATATAAAAATAAAATAAAATCCATGTAAATCCAAATAAATTGTAAGACAATTAATTTAACAAAAATTACAGAGTGATATTATTTATTTCATAATAACAAACTTGCCTGTTGCTACTTAATACTAATAATCCTGCACATTATTTCACAACGTCGAATTGTCACGGACGCACCGGCTGCACCGTTTATTACTCATCATTGTTGCGCATACCGGAAGAAGCATGTAAAAAGAAAAAATTGTTTTGACGAGGTACAATTAAACGTGCCGGGGTATAATTGACGTGGCGTGCAAATGGGTCGCATGTGCACATTAGGACACGTGTCCTAAAGCGGTTGTTATAACAATCGCGCAATTTGTCTCAAAATTTTGTATTTGTTTATTGATATAATAGAAGAAGCGCCCATTTGTAATAAACTTTTGTAAATTTAATTATGATTTTGTTCAATGAATTATTTGTATTCAATAAATTAGTAATTTATATAATACAACAAGTATAAATATTACAAATAATAAATATTATATGTACATAATAATAATATAATTATTTTATTATTACATTAATTATTATAAAAGAATTTCTAAAAATAGGAAATTGTCTTTTTATTTAACATAAAGAAATAATTACTAAAATAATGTTAAAATCATATAGTGTATCTTATTTACAATTATTTACATTTCTTATTAGAATAGAGCAATTTAACATTTTTTTAATGTGTTTAATATTTACATAATGACTGACTTAAAATTAATTTTCAATAAAGGCATTTTGATTTTATGAGATTTAAATGTTTTTAGATTACATAGATAATACTTACATAGATAATACCAATAAGCATCGTATATCTAAAGCAAAATAATTTCCTGAATTTTCGAAAAGAGATTTATGATTTTGGTTATAATTATGACTGGGGAAATGTAGAATGTAACGTGAATAATGACACATTGCACATTGCTATTCTCGTGATATCGATATCTCGAGATTTGGATTTTTAAAATCAACGTGCAAAATATACAAATTCTACATGTATGTATTTTATAATTAAATATAACTAATTTGTAACTGAAATTTCTATGCAGTTAATAAAATATTTCTGATTTTCAATTTTACTTGAAGTACTTTCTATTAAATACTATACTTTATATTAAATGACATTACATTAATATTATAATTTTCCACTTAACAATACAAATGTAATGTAAGATATGTTGTATCTAACAGTTAGGTTAGTTGTAGGTCGAAAATTATAATATTGATATAATTATTGTTAGTTGGTATTTATTAGTTATAACTGGAAATCCAAATAAAATTTTCATGTTTCTTTAAATTATTACAAAATATTGTTATATCAAATTATGACATTTTGAAATAGAGAGCTCGATAAAACAAACTTTCTTTTATT